ACGCCCTCCGACTCCCTCCGACTCCCGCTGACGCCCTCTGACGCCCTCCGACTCCCACTGACACCCTCCGACTCCCTCCGACGCCCTCTGACTCCCTCCGACGCCCTCCGACTCCCTCCGACGCCCTCCGACTCCCGCTGACGCCCTCTGACTCCCGCTGACGCCCTCTGACTCCCGCTGACGCCCTCTGACCCGTGCCCTCTGATGCCCTGTGACTCCCACCGGACCTCAGGAAACGCAGCTGTTGTTCTCCGGAGCCGGCTGAAGGTCAGGGTGGTGAAGGAGCTCCGGGGGAAGAAGACAGCGGTGCACAACGGGCTGGGTGAAAATGGCTCACGGGCTGCGGGCCTGGACATGGATGTCGGGAAGCAGGCCATGCAGTACCAGGTGAGTGGAGGTGCCTCAGCCTCGGTGAGGGGCCCGGGGTGGGGGGACTTGGGTCCCAGGGGCGAGGGCCTTCCGCAGAGCCTGGCTAGGTGGGACGGCCGTGTGTGTGAGCTGTGCGGCCCCACCCGCCCTGAGTGTGCAATGCTGTCATCCCCTCCAGGTCCTGAATGAGGTGGTGATTGACAGAGGCCCCTCCTCCTACCTGTCCAACGTGGACGTCTACCTGGACGGACACCTCATCACCACGGTGCAGGGCGACGGTAAGGCCCGCAGCGCTGTCCTGGGGCCCTGAGCGTCCCTTGGGCGGGAGTGACGCCTGCGCCTGTCCCTGTCAGGAGTGATCGTGTCCACCCCGACGGGCAGCACGGCGTATGCGGCCGCGGCCGGGGCCTCCATGATCCACCCCAACGTGCCGGCCATCATGATCACGCCCATCTGCCCCCACTCGCTGTCCTTCCGGCCCATCGTGGTCCCCGCAGGGGTCGAGCTGAAGGTCAGAGCCAACGACGCTCCTTTTCCGGTTTGTGAGTCATTTGACCCCGTGCAGCACAAAGCCCGGACCTAGTGCTCAGCTCTGCCGTGCTGGCTCCAGCCTCAGACATGGCCTCACCATCCTAGGGCTGTCCGTGCCCTCAGAGGCAAGCCCTGCCCGAGATCTGTCCACCCAGGTGCCCGGGGCCCGGGTCTGAGGGGCTTCCCGCCATTGTTGGTCTCTGGCGGTGCTGAGCTGGGCCAGTGCCTGTAAGATGCGCACTCCACCGTCCACAACGCAGGGTCAGAGCTGCCCAACCTTCGGCCTCTGGCGAGCACTCGGGGGTGGGTGCCTAGAAGTGTCCTCCCCACAGCTGGGGGCCCACCCCTCTCCCTGCTTGACCCTCAGATCATGCTGTCACCTGAAGCAAGGAACACAGCATGGGTGTCCTTCGATGGACGGAAGAGACAAGAGATCCGCCACGGAGACAGGTGTGGGCTGCAGGCCGGGCTGGGCACTGCCTGCCAACCTCCTCCCTGAGCCAGGCAGCGCCTGCCCTCTTGGGGTTGGCCTGTAGACACAGCTTGTCCCCTAGAGCACCACAGGGCCTGAGTCCCTGGGTCTTAGAGTGTCACAGTCAGGGCACCCGTGCCAGCGGCAGCAGGTCATATACGGTGGCACATGCAAGCGTGTCCCCCCCCGGCACAGCTGCCCGCCCTTGCATGAGGGCTGCCCTCCCCCACCTCCTGGGACCTCACCCCTGAGGGCCCTGGGGCAGAGTTTGTCATTTCCCTGCACCGTCCCCTCCAGGACCTGGGGCGGCTCTGTCCCAGCACCCATGGGGCACCCCTGAAGCCTGCCTCAGGGAGGGGCTGCCTGGCCCCTCAGGAAGAGTCCCGGCGATTCCCCAGGAGGGAGGGAGGGTTCTTGGCTGGGGTGGGCCTTTCTGGAAGCCCTGGCTCAGGCGGCTGCTCTCCCGCCCCAGCATCAGCATCACTACCTCATGCTACCCGCTCCCCTCCATCTGCGTGCGGGACCCCGTGAGCGACTGGTTTGAGAGCCTCGCGCAGTGCCTGCACTGGAACGTCCGGAAGAAGCAAGCCCACTTCGAGGAGGAGGAGGAGGAGGAGGAGGAGGAGGGGGAGGGCTAGGTCGAGCCCTGTCCAGGCCGGAATCCTTCCGCTGTCTTCTTTTCTGCCCTCCAAGCTCCCTCTGGGGACAGACCAATCTGTGTGTGTCTGTGACCGCCTCTGTCTCAATGGCACGGCCACTTCCTTCCTGTAGCTGGGTCAGAGCCTGGGTCTGCCCTTTTGTCCAGATCAGCTGTTTTTTTTAACATTTTAAGTCTGACTTTTTTTGCTCTTCTAAAGAAGCAGTGAGAAATGGGCTGGGAGTGCTTCTGTCCCACTGACCCCGTGGGGGGTCCCTGGAGCACAGCCTCCAGCTGCCATAATTCCATGCCAGGATATTTTTCCACAAATCAGTCGATTGAAATTCAGAGGGGTCGGAATGACTCGACCTGTCCTTCAATGTTGAAAATAAATGTCTCAGCCAAAAACCTTCCTTGAGCTGCGATGCTTTTCCCCTTGGCCTGCACCTCTTTCCTTAAAACTTCTGCAGGGAAACCCCCGGCGCAGGCGCTGTTGACAAGTCTGGTCTTGCCGGTGGCTGGCAAGGTGGTTTTGTTCTGCGCAGTTTCTGGGGAGGGTTGGATGCGTCCCCTGCTGTCCAGCCCTCCCCGCTCGAGGCCCCACGAGTCTGGGACCCTCAGTGGGAAGGGGGCTGGCATCGCTGGCGACCCACACATTCCTCACGTAGCTTCCGCTCCCAGGAAGGGGGTTTAAATCCTGTATGTACTTTTTAGAGATTCTTTTAAAGTTTCTGAAATGCTTATGTGCATCTTTTCTTGTACACACTTTTGTGAAGATTTCAGGGGGAAGGGAGTCGTCTGCCATTAAATGTTTACATTTGTGTTCTGCAAGACGCTGTCTTCGGGGACCATTCGGGGACCATTCTGTTCAGTGCGATCCTGGTGGCCCGGGAGATGGGGATTTCCAGGGCTAGTGATCGTGATCCCTTTCATCTTGCAACTGTAATGAGAATCTTTGACATGAACACGGCAAGGGACTCAACACGCTGATTCTCCTCCTGCCTCTACCATGAGTCTCCAGCCTGCAAAGCACTGGCAGCTGTGGTGCATGTGGGTGCTGCTACCCCGGCACGCGCCTCTTCCACGGGCACAGGTGTGTGGAGGCCGTGGTCAGAGCCTGGGGTCCTGGTTACTGCTGCCCGGGCATCTGTATTTTGAGTAACTGCTCTGAGTTTTGCACATGAAGTTGTCCTCATCTGCTGGAGACTGATAAGAAAAAGGCGGCACAAAACATTCGCCGCCGCCGGTGAGCTTCCCGCAGCCACCCGGCTCCGCCTGGGCACGTTCTCTGAGGCACGTGTCTCCCCCGCTCACCCTCGTCTGGGCACCGCAGCATCGGCAGACTTAAGCGTCCAAAAACCCCGAGTGTGATTCTGGGCAGCGGGCCTGGCTTTAAGTCTGCCGTGACCCTGGGCACAGGGGAGGCCCAGCCGTGGGCTTAGGAGGAGAGAGGGACCAGCACCCAGCGTCAGGGCCGGAAGACAGCAGTGTTCAGAATTCCAGCCACTCATCTGAAGAAAAAAGGTGTGAACTGAGCTCTAAAGCAGCACGAGACGGAAATGATCTAGAAAACTTTGGATTTTTGACGTAAATTTTAATGTTTCATATTAATTTCTTGAAAATTTATTAAATGTCTTTGAAAGCCTTATTACGATTTTCAGATCCTTTCAATAAACAAGACTTGTAAAAAAGAAGCTGGGTTAATAACACCTTTCTTCTGACGCCTTGTAACCAACATAGAGGGGTTGGGCAGGGTCGCCCCCATTAAATCCTGGCCCCGAAATGCCCATCCACCGAGTGTAGGGCAGGGCCAGCAGGTCGTCCTCCCCAAGGGGCTGTGTGGTGCCCCAGGGGCTGGGAGTGCCGCTGGCTCTTCTGGGCAAGGGGGCACTGCCCTGGCGGGGGGAGGGGTAGACAGAGGGACTCAAAATCGTGGGGTGGTGTTGCCTCGGGCAGGCTGTGTTTCTCCTGGAAGAGCCACTGAGACCAGGGGGAGTTGAGTCCCTGCATCACCGGGGCCAGCAGGACTGGAAGGGCCCCTCCATCCGGGCTGCCTAACTCAGGGGCAGCCACAAGCCAGGTGAGGACCTGCTGTCCCCTGGGCCCAGCCTGGGCACCGACATCGGCCTCCCTCCCTCCAGTGATGTGGTCCTCCCCGCAACCCCCCAACACCGCAACCCCACACCATCCCTGTTGTCCTAACAAGGCCCAGATGAATGTGGCTCAAGGCTTTGCCCGGAGCCAATCTGTGCTACATGCATGCAAGGCCAGGAGAGACCAGAATGACCACCCCATGGGCACCTGCACCACCAGCACCCTGCACCGTTTTGGGGATGTGAAAGCCTGGGCTGTGGGCCCCTCCCTACTGACCTGGAGCACCTCTGTCTCCCCCGCCTGGAAGAGGCTGTGGATCAAGCCTTAAGCTTCCCAGCTTTCGGGAGCACAGAGGCCCCAAGACATCCTCGGGGGCTGCCGGGCTCAGGCTCTGGGGCTTGGAAACCTTTTCGATCCTGAAGCGGTGGCATCCAGGGTCTCTGCCGGGCCAGCGCCAGCCTGTACCTTGGGCACCTCTGTGCTGGGCCTGGCACCTTCACCCTGCCTCCCACAGCCATGGTGTCTCCTCAGGTCAGGTCAGAAGGGGCTGCAGCCAGGCCCAAAGACCTAGCCCAATTCCTGCGGCTCCTGCGGGGTCTGGGTGAGGCCTGTTCTGCTGGGAGCCCAGGAGGCTGCGACCCTGGAGCTGGAAGTCCGGTTGGGGGAGAGCAGGGTGGGGAGGGTATGGCAGAGGAGCTGGCCGGAGGAGCCCAGGGAGGGTTGGCAGTGCTGGGGATGTCGGGGAAGGCAGGAGCTGGTACGTCACCGCGTGGTTCAGCCGTTTCCAGCACATCCCGCCCCAGAAGGATCTTGACCAGGGCATAGGCTGCCTTCAGGGTCTGGTAACACCAAGGAGCCAAGGCAGGCAGTAAACTGAGGCCACAACCTCCTTAGGAGCCTCCACCACCAGGACACGCACCGGAAAGAGGAAGGAGGCCCCTGCGGAGAGCAGGGTGGGCAGGAGTGGGTGGCCAGGACAGGCAGTACCCAGTGAGGGGTGGTGGGGACCCAGGAGCCACAGAGGAACTGGCTCAGCCACCCTGTGCAGGAGGCACTTGGGGCCTGTGCTCCGGCCTCACCAGGGCTGCCCCACGCCCATATCCTGCTGATAAGCCCCAGGACCAGGATCCCCACCCAGCTGCTCTGCAGAGGGGACAGGAGGCCAGACAAAAAGATGGACACACACACACACAGACACACCACACAGAAAAACAGGCGTGGGCACCACTGAGACACACACACGGGCACCACACACTCAGACACAGACACACACAGAAAAATACACATGGACGCCACTGAGACGCACACACTCAGAGACACGCAGTGCACTCTGGGAAACAGGACGGTTCCTCCAAACCAGCAAGGGGCCCAGGAAAGCATGGGTGGCCCTGAGTATGGAGGGTCTGAAGGCTGCGGGAACTTGCCCATGAGTGACCTTGGCCTGGAGAACTCCCCGGCCTCTTCCCCCACCTGCTGATGAGGACAAATTGCAGGGGCATGAGCGGCTGCTGCTCCCCCACCGCTGGACAGGTGGCCGAGTGGCCTGCAGGCTCGGTCTCCAGGCGGGGACCCTCCCCCCTTCCTCCCCATCCGTGGGGCCTTGGCACAGACCCCATTCTCTGGGGCCTCTGTTCACACCCCACACCTCCCTGCTGTCCTCAACGCCCCTTGGGAAACTTCAGCTCCTCTGGGCCGGCAGGTCTCACCGTCCCTGCTGAGTGGGAGCCCAGACCCAGACTGAGGCTGGCTGGGGGACATGGAGGAGCCTGTGGGCCGGGGGTCCCCAGAAGGGGGCAGAACAGAGCTAGCCATGACCGCTTTCCTTCCTGCCTTCTAGAAGATCATCCAGGCCCTGAAGGCAGAGGAAAGGAATCCCACAGCCCATGGGCCCCTCAGCCTGGGGAGACCCTGCCCCGAGGTCAGCAGGGAGGCCAGGGAGGACCGTGTGGAGGACTCTACCCAGCCATGTCGCAGGCAGCACAACCCGGAAGGTCCCGGGAACCAGGGATGCACTTTGGAGGTTTGAACAGCGCCTGGACCCATCAGCCTCCCACACAGCGAGGCTTCCTGACTCCTAACCGACTCCACATCGTGTGGATAGAAATTCACTGAAATACATGACAACGGCATGCAGGCAGGAAAACGTGCAATAATACAACAGCTCGATGTTCTCAATACAAAGCTCATAGAATTGACACAAAACACTAATAGAAAAATTGTCAAAGGGCAGAAACCGATGACTCAAGGAACAATATAAATAGCTAAGAAGTGCCAGGCGCGGTGGCTCATGCCTGTAATCCCAGCACTTTGGGAAGCCAAGGTGGGTGAATCACGAGGTCAGGAGATTGAGACCATCCTGGCTAACACGGTGAAACTCCATCTCTACTAAAAATACAAAAAAAAAAAAAATTGCTGGGCGAGGTGGCGGCGCCTGTAGTCCCAGCTACTCGGGAGGCTGAGGAGGAGAATGGTGTGAACTCAGCAGGCGGAGCTTGCAGTGAGCCGGGATCGCGCCACTGCACTCCAGCCTGGGTGACAGAGCGAGACACCGTCTCAAAAAAAAAAAAAAAAAAGAAATTTAAAATAAAAATTATTAATACACGTCTCCCAGGCAATATAGCAAAGAGAAGTGGGGCATGGTGGCTCACGCCTGTAATCCCAACACTTTGGGAAACCGAGGTGGGAGGTCCTTCTGGGGAGAGGAAGAGAGGAAGGCACCCAGGCTTCCCAGACACTATTCCAAAATCATTAAACTGTACATCCCAAGCCCAGCACAGTGACAGCCACCTGCAGACCCAGCTCCTCCGGAGGCTGAGGCCAGAGAGTCCTGAGTTTGAGCCTAGCCTGGGCAAAGTAGTGAGATCCGCCATCTCAAAAATAAAATAAAATGCATGGTCCCTCATGAAATGTAAGGATTTGCTATAAAAATTTTGAGAGGCCAGGTGCAGTGGCTCACACCTGTAATCCCAACACTTTGGGAGGCCAAGGTAGGTGGATCATGAGGTCAGGAGATCGAGACCATCCTGGCTAACAAGGTGAAACTCCATCTCTACTAAAAATACAAAACAATTAGCAGGGCGTGGTGGTGGGCATGTGTAATCCCAGCTACTCGGGAGGCTAAGGCAGAGAATTGCTTGAACTCAGGAGGCGGAGCTTGCGGTGAGCTGAGATCACACCACTGCACTCCAGCCTGGGCGACAGAGTGAGATACCGTCTCAAAAAAAAAAAAAAGGCCGGGCACGGTGGCTCGGGCCTGTAATCCCAGTACTTTGGGAGGCCAAGGTGGGTGGATCACAAGGTCGGGAGATGGAGAACATCTTGGCCAACAGGGCGAAATCCCATCTCTACTAAAAATACAAAAATTAGCTGGGCGTGATGGCGCACGTCTGTATTCCCAGCTACTCAGGAGGCTAAGGCAGGAGAATCACTTGAACCTGGGAGGCAGATGTTGCAGCGAGCCAAGATCACGCCACTGCACTCCAGCCCGGGCGATGAGAGCGAAACTCCGTCCCAAAAAAAAAAAAAAAAAGAAAAAAGAGTACTTTTTATAAATCTGCTTTTGAAATCATTTGGATACTACAGCGACCCTGCTGGCCACAACAGCCGAGACTAGTGGGCAAATCACCAGACATTTCTGGGTTTCCTGCAAAGTAGGAAAATCTACTTTGTAAACTGCTCTCAAATTTATGAACTCTGTGTGGATCGTGAACTCAGGCACCAGGCAGATTGCACCCCACTGCGTTAATTTCACTTCTGAGTCTTTCATAATTTTCTTTATTCCTTTTTTTTTTTTTTTTGAGATGAAGTCTCACTCTATGACCAGGCTGGAGTGCAGTGGCGCGATCTTGGCTCACTGCAACCTCCACCTCCTGAGTTCAAGCGATTTTCCTGCCTCAGCCTCCCAAGTAGCTGGGATCACAGGCAGCTGCCACCATGCCCAGCTTTTTTTTTTTTTTTCGTATTTTTTGTAAAGACGGGGTTTCACCGTGTTAGCCAGGACGGTCCAGATCTTCTGACCTTGTGATCCGCCGG